TCCCCTCACAATCTAATGTGGTAGACTTTATTAACTCTGCGTTATTTAGGGTTTAGATCACTTTCTCCCTCCACTGATTCAGGCTGACTTTTTAAGAAAACTACCACAGTATGGCTGATTTCTTCTACACACTTTGCAGTTGTCTAAATGGATAAAACGCTTAACTGGTCACGTTTCTATTTACTAAGATTTGCGCCTAAAAGATCAGTCAATTAATAATGAATTGCAGACAATTTTGATAAATTAATCAGCGTGTATGAAGCAACACTGCACAACATTTGCTCTTTCCAGCATCTCTCTGCTTTTCTGTTTTTCATTATTGTAAACGGGGGATATTTTTGAGGTTTGGACTGTTGTCAGGACAGAATAGACAATCTGAAAACGTCACCATGGGCTGTGAGAAATTGTGACGGTCAATTTACTTACGTTTAAAAAAGGATCAATTGAAAAAAAACAAAAAAACAATCAACAGAGTACTTGATAATGAAAATAATCATTGGGTTGCAGCCTATAATAAAAAATTATTTGCCGCTAACCTTCTTCTGGATTCCAATAACAGGATTTGAGACATCTTAAGACTTCTTTAGTGCTTAAATTCAAGACATTTTTGAACTATTTAAGGGCAAAAATCATAAAATAAAACACCCCCAGATCTCCAGTCGAAAACCCCTTTCAGTTTCAACTCTCTGTCAGTTTGTCCGTCTGCGTCTGTGTGTCGGGCCTTCCCGCAGTCTGGCCCAGATCCTGCTCAAATTGGATTTGAAGCCATTAGTGTCCCAACTCGAAGCATATGTTCCAAGTTGCTGAGCATTTCATTTCACGAGACGACGATGAGGGGGCAGAGGGAAGAAAGAAAGAAAAAAAAACACACACAGACGGCGCAGAAAAATAAACCAGACACAAACAGGGCTGGACTGAGTCTGTCGCTCACTTACAGACAGACAGAGAGAGAGAGAGACGTCCCATGCTCCCGAAGAAAGCCCACTTTGACTTCAGGGTCACGTTCCTGAGCATTAGCCTATAACTGCCACTGTGTGTGTGTGTCAACCTCTGTGTACACGCTCTTACATGCATGTTTTCATATGAGGTTCAGAGAGCGATACCTTCCACACCACACAAAAGGCGCTGCTGTACTCCATCACAGAAATCTAAATATTCTGTCTGGGGGGGGGGCATTAGAGCAGGGATTGTATTTCAAAAGGCAGGCAACCCCCTCACTCTCTTTGCTTTAAAAGAAGCAACAACTTTTATTTATGTCCAAATGCCGTGTGGATGCAAGTGAGTGAGAACCCCCAAGCAAAGTCGGATCATTATCTCTTAAATCTAAACAAGCCTTTACTTTCCCAGAACAGAGCGCGTATTCTATAAGCACTTAAACATAGCGGGGGGATGGGCTTATAGGAGTGTGTGATCCCGGGGTTCCCAGTCCTGAGTTTAAGAATGGCAGGGTAAAACACTGCAGGCTCTGTGGAAGCCAGGAAACAGCCTAATGTATTTATCCAAACACATATCTGCTTGAGAGGCCCCACGGCTTCAACACATCCCCTTTCCTTACTGGGGCTTCACCTCCGAACACTACCACAGTGAAAATGGAAAGCCCAGCAGGACTGTACAACATGCACTACAAATGATTATACTGATTATGTAGATAAACAGCGGGGTTATATGTTCCAAGTTTCAGGACGTTTTAACGGCATTTCTGCACCTTAAAGACACACTGACAACCTTTCATTTTTCATGGCTGTGAGTTTTTCAGACCAGCAGGAGCTGAAAGAAATCTTGTTTTCACTCCTGCTGTCTGACTCTTAATACATCCTTTTTTTTACTAAACACACCTAATAAACAGCTACTTCTTTTACAAGGCAAACATCATCCACAATCTGTTCTTGTTTGTCGTCATCTGGAATAAAACTAAACCGTCTCCAGATGATAGATGATCCACTTTTTAGAAACTTGATCATTGTTGGGGGTTTTCCTCTTCAACATCAGGCAGATTCATTCTTTTCCCACTTTGCTTGTTTGTCCTTTTATTCCGACAAAGAGGTTTTATGTAAGGTTTCTCTGCTGCGTCTGCAGCTGAACTTCACGAAAAGGTCAACCGGTGAAAGGCTGCAGAATTAAAGCCCTGAGATGAACCATACCTAGACTTTCCAGGGAACCGAAAACAAAACCTGTCAACGTCAATCGCAGAGGCATAAAATAATAATAAATCTAAAAATAAGCGGTGAAATTTCAGCCAAAATGGAACCTTTTGCGGAGGTCATTCTGTCATGTTCTGTAAAGCCTGAAAATATTGTTTGTACCATCTGTTATTTGCCTCGTCATACGGAAAAAAAAATTGAGGAAGCCTCTTCAAACATCAAACTAGAAACTGTTTCTGGTGAACCCTGTGCTGTCTGCCGTGTGTTAACTGCCATTCAGATTGAAGCGTCTGACCTGATTTATTGCCGTCTTTGTCAACCATTAAAATGGACTGACGTAACACAAACGGCTAGGTGACCTCGTCTCCTTTTCCACATTCATCTGCGCCCGTTGTGCTGGCAGCACTGCTTCACAGCTGAGGAATCCCAAAACAACACAGTGGCACAATAATGTGAACGCTGCCAGCAGCGGGGAGGAAGGTAAGAGCTCCATTTAGCTGTTTACACAATTCCATAATTTAACCATCTCCCCAAAATAATCCTGTTTACATGAACACGATTATCCAGACAGAATTGTGGGAATCTGAGTGTTTGAGGTAAACAAAATTATAAAAAAATAACAACTTGTTTGCCAGATGTTGTTGATGCCAGAAGTGAGGTTGTTCTTCAGTCTGCACAGATCTTACACTGGTGCCCAAGTTTTCCTCTAGAGCTCTAATCTGTCTCCTTTATGTATCTGCATAATCTAATCACGTCTGGCACGACGTTGTACGTATCATCGGTTCAACTCGACGCAGACGCCACTTCCCTTCCACTTCAACGTAACACGAAGATCTGCGCACACGTGCAACCTGAGCGCCGTTCACGGCGAAGGACTGACTACGGGAAAAGACTGAACAGCATTTCCTGTCTCTTGTCCATTCATTTCAATTAAAAAAAAACTCCATTTATGTCTCTAATTCTGCTTTACTTTCAGATCAGATCAGATCAGACTGACATAATTATGCAATAAGAGATGCAGTAACTCAATTAATGTTAGTCCCTTTAGATATTTGGGCTCAAAGGCAAAAATATATGTTTATAAAGTGCTGCTGTTTTCTGGAACACTGTCTCAGGATCAATGCAGCAACTGGTAGAGACGAGTCTTAAACTTGCGGTAAAGAAACTGTTTGTCAATCATAAGTCTGTTTGTGCATCTTTTTTAACTGGACTTGACAATCCGTGGAATTGCTATTTTCCTTTTCTAACTGCGTTTTTATCCTCAACAATTATATTATGTGTAAGGACTCGAGGATTGCAGTGTTGTATTTACATAACGTTCAAATCTGTCTGTAACAAAGACTACAATGACACTCGTGTAGCGTGTTCGCATGAGCTCAATTTTCTCACATTGATGCCTGTTCAGTGTGTGACTTTCTAAAACCTAAATTAACGTCAAGTTGTTCTGAAGCGTAAAATCAGCACCGACACGCTTCATATTTAATTATGTCATATTTTTAAATATTTTATTTATCCCTACTTGTTGCACGTGTAATGCAGAAGGTGCCAAAGAGGAATTAAAAAGAGGCCGTAGGAACGTGTGTCTGCTTTTCTTCAAATAAAAATAAATAGATTGTGCATCTAAAAGCAGCCAAATCCCACCGAGATTACCCAATAAAGAAAAGAGAGCAAACTAAAATGATGTGACAAACAAATCCACTATGACAATGAAAGCAGCCAGCCTTGATCTTCTTCAATCACTTCCTGTCTCTCCTGCAGGTTAACTTTTTTACAAAACACGCTCCGTGAGTGTAAAACACCTCAAGCACACTGTGCACGTAACCACAACCAACAATCACTCACAAGCCTTTTTATAAAAAGCTCCAAACTGCTGTAATTGGGAGACGACACAAAGCACACAAACACGCTGCTCTGTGTTAAAATCTGTCCACAGATGAAACACACACACACACACACACACACACACACACACACACACACACACACACACACAGTGCTCTGATGAGTGTGTACGTGGCGAGGGCTGACGGGTCACAGCGCTCTGACCCACTAATGAGAGGCAGAGAGTAACCACATCAGACAAGAGCAATGCTAAGTAACTGGTCTGATAAATAAATAAAGAGAGCGCCCTAATGCGGACAAAGTGTTCATGCACCACAATGACAACATGGCACAAATGATAACAGTCTCACAGAGTGACCGCAAGGAACAGCGGCGAGCCGGCCGCGACACATGACAGGCAGAAAAAAAACAAAAAACTGCAGAGTCAGTAAAGCTCAAATCTGCGTGAACCGCAGAAAGCATTCGGTTGTCAGTGTTTGTGCAATATGCTTCACCTGCCACACTCCCTGCACACTTTAACAGTAACATTTTATTGCCTTAAATGTCACACAGTGCAGTTTGTGGACTCTCAAAGTTTGTCCTCGCTGGCCACCATACCCTCTCTGAGCTTGAGCCAATTAAATCAAAGTATAAACAAAGACTCTGCATCAAACTGGATGCTGATTGGCTTCCTGCTGCACCTTAAAAATGTCTTAATTTCTGCTTTTTCTTTGCACAGTCTGGATTATTAACTTGTTTAAAACTTCATACAAAAGCGGTCTGAAACTACCAAAACATAAAATGTGAAAATAAATACAAATAGATTTTTAAAAAAAGACTGAATGAATGTATATTTAAAACGTTAGATGTCTTAAATGTGTCCATATATATTTGATTTAAGATTTAAAACTGGCAGGATAAAAAAATATATATGTGAATTCACAATAGTAGGTACAAAAAATATCCTGAATTCTTACAAGCTCCTGGCAGGTGATCCACAAAGTGTGTGTGTGTGTGTGTGTGTGTGTGTGCACTTACATGTGGACATGTGGAGGTTGGAAGCGGCTCTGGTTGATGTTGTAGTGTGTGAAGGCCTGTGTGGGGTTGGAGCTGTACTCGTCCACCGTGATGGTCACTTTGCCATGAGCCATCCTTCCGCCGTTTGGACATGAGACGCCGTTCGTTCACCGGGATTCAGCAACGAGCCGTGCAGCGGTCATCCTTCAGGGCCGCTCAAGAAGCCCAGGAAGTCTCCCAGCCAGCAGCAGCAGCAGCAGCAGCGACCCAGGCAACCAACTCGACCACGACACACTGCAGTCTGCACCGACAAGAGCAAAGAGACACACACACACAGCTGCTTTTAAATGGGACCACAAGGCATGCAGCAGCTTCTGAATACACTGATAAGAAGGTATTTTACATTAGAAGAAAGCACAAACCTCCAGGAATAAATTCATACTTTTTCACTGTTGTTAAAAACGCACAAGCAAAAAAAATAAAGAATAAAAACAGATGGCATGAAGAGCTAAATTACTCTGGTTTGAAGCAGAGCACACATAAAAGTAATGTCTTATTCTATTCATTTATAAATGACAGTATATACACACACTCTCTGCATGCTGCACAGACAGTTGTCCTGTTTGGTTTCAGAGCACAAACAGAGGCAATATCCCTTTTGCTGTGTCACAATTTGATTTTGGAAGCAGTGAATCCCTGAAACAGCTCATTCTTCACGAAATCCCAATTAGAAAAAAGCAGCGAGGCAACTTAAAAAATAATTAGAGATTTATTCTACCATTTCAAACAATCTGGCATTTTACGTTAAGAGAATAGAAATTCTTTCAAGAAGACTGTTAAGGCGACAATTTACAATCTGGAAAGCACGTTTTTTTTTTAATTGCTGCTCTGCTGCTGAGAACCCAGTTGGTTTTAATGCAAACTAATATATTCAAATGTATTAAAAAAAAGAAATTACTGCAGGCATGGCCTCTTGGGCATTAGGCTGTTGAAATTAAACCAAGCAAAAAAAAAAAAAAAAAGCTGCAGGCGGTGATCAAATTGTTGCAAAAACCTTCAGTAAAACAAGAAATTCTCCACAATGCATCCACACAACGCTTCACAATCACACACAAAAACACACAAAAATAAGGCAAAGTTCTGCGTTCCTGTTGCCCCAGGCCTGGTGCAGCTAATCTGCTCCAACATATACATATACGCACAAGACTAAATCATCTCTTAAAACTCTTAAAAGCAGCTAAAATGTTGCACAACAAGTGTTTGTTTGTTTGTTTGTTTGTTTGCATCCTCACTCACCGGGCTGCTCGCTGTGTGTCTCCTTGCACCCTGAGCTTCCCTTCCTTGTCTGACCTCCCTGACTGACAGTAAAGTGGCCACTGTGGGCTTGACAGGCTTTTTTATACCAGACCTCCTGATGCAGCCAGGAGAGCACAGGAGAGAGAGGGAGAGAGAGGGAGAGGGAGAGAGAGGGTGGAGGGAGGGTTAAAAAAGGGAAAGAATTGCACCTCAATTTAACAAATGTCATTTTTTTTAGGGTAATCAACAGCTACAGAGTTCACTTGATGGTTAAATCCTGTATATAAACCTCCAGTTGTTGAATATCTTAAAGGAAACAATTTGACGTAGAAAAACTGTCCTATTTTCAACCCCCCCCAAAAAAAAAAAAAAACCCACCCATTGATTTATGCTTTCTAGGTCAGCTAGGATGCTACTTCCTATGATGTGTGCTATGAATTTAAGTCAGAAAGATTTATGCCAACCTAGAAAATTAAAAAAGAAAAAAAAAAGAAAGAGGCTCCTGCAACAACGCTGCAAAGTAAAAAAATAAAAATTACATCCAACTCCAAATGAATCCTTGTTGCTGCTGCTGGCTTTTGCATAAGAAAAACAAGTTTGCAAGATCTTCTTCCATGCAGGGGGGGGGGGCTCCAAAAATAAAACATTTTAAGCTGCCCCCCCAACCTCCTTTACACACACACACACACACACACACACACTTCACCTCAGCTCTGTCCCAAAGCTAAAATCTGAACTACTGCTGCTGCTCCTTCTTACAAAACATGCAGAAATGTAGGCCGAAAAAACTAAAAGGACGGATTTGTGTGCAGCATGCTTCAGAGTGTGTGTGTGTGTGTGTGTGTGTGTGTGTGTGTGTGTGTGTGTGTGTGTGTGTGTGTCAGTGCCTTGTCTGTCTGTCGGCTATACAGTAGCAGCAACTAGCTCTCTAGCTTAGCCTGCTAAATAAAAAATAAATGCCTTGGCAGAAGATTTTTTTTTTTTTTTTTTATTATGCAGGCTGTAGCTTCTATAAAGGCGGTGCACACACACACACACACACACACACACACACACACACACACACACACACACACACAATGTCAGTGCTGAATACATACACAGTTACACACACACACAACATAGCTAACTTCACGAGTAGGAACCACTCCGGTAAGCAGCAGCAGCAGAGAGAGAGAGAGAGAGAGAGAGAGAGAGAGAGAGAGAGAGAGAGAGTAAAGGCGAATAAATTGACCCTTTCTGATACCACACACACACACACACACACACACGTTGTATGTGTGTGTGTGTGTGTGTGTGTGTGTGTGCTATGCGCCGCCTGCAGAAATGTGCACAAAAAGATTATATAAAAACACAAAGGTCCGTTGCGATCCTGAACTCTGCTCCTGGAATAATAATAATAATAATAATAATAATAATAATAATAATAATAATAAAACCAGCCCTAAAGGTGGTCAGTGTCACAGCACCGCCGCCGCTAACCTCCTGCTCGTCCTCGTGAAATGACAAGCCACCTTTCAACCGACGGCTTTGTGTCAAGAATTTATATTTCTTTCTTCCTCCTCTCTCTCTCTCTCTCTCTCTCTCTCTCCTCCGTTTCTCTCTCTTCCCCCCTTTTCTCTCTCTCTAAATCGCCTCCCTCCCGTCCCCCTTCTTCGGTTCTTAAAGCAAAGCGGAAAGGTTGCTCTACCTTCGTCGTGTGTGGGGTTTGTTTTTTTTTTTTTTTTTTTTAGGTTTTTTTTTTTTTTTTGTATCTGGCCGGAGAAAGAGTGCCGGGTCGGGGTCGCCCTCTACGCGGCGGCGGTGGCGGCGGCAGCGGCGGCAGGAGCAGCAGCAGCGGCGGCGGTGGTGGTGGTGGTGGAGGTAGTGGAGGGACGCGGGTCCATGCGGCAGCAACAGGGGGAGGTTCGAACGTTCGCTGTCCGGGGGTTGCGGCAGTCTGGGCGGGTAGGGCAGAACCTTCGACCCGGCGGGACCTCGGCTGGCTCCTGTGGAAAAGAAACCAGACAAGAGAGCGAGAAGGGGGAGAGAGAGAGAGAGAGAGAGAGAGAGAGAGAGCGGTAGAGAGAGAGCCGAAGAGAGGAGGGCGAGAGATACTGACAGACAAGAGAGAGAGAGGGGGGAGAGAGAGAGAGTAGACTCGGTCTGACGGAGGGGGGAGCCGGAGTGCAGTGAGTCGGAGCTGCCACTGGGGTCAGAGAGCAGAGCGAGAGCAGGAGCGAGCACAACCCCCCGCCACCTCCTGTGCGCGCGCCCTCACCGGCGGGCACGCGCGCAGGAGAGGGCGCGAGAGAGAACGCGAGGGAAGGAGGAGGGCGCTCGCGCAGTCCCCGCGCTCAAACACCGTGCTGCATTCACTTGCTGTCGGACATCAGCCAACTGCTGTTGATGTGGACATTGTTGTGATTTTTAGGGATAAAAAATTATTAACTGATGGGTGGAAAAGGTATATTTATGTTTTTAATAAAAATAGACTATTAATAGAGTTTCATAAAGGGTTTGTAATCCAATACAGTTACTAAATACCTGTAGTCAGTTAAATAATCCAAGTATCACAGTATTACAGTAACGTAACTTGATTACTTTCTGTTGCTTTCGGATTACCTCGACAAAAAAATATTTTAAAAATTGTTAAATAATCCCCATTTTTACTAAATGTAACTGTAATCTGATTACATGTTTCTTTCTATTGTAATGAATTACAGTTACCCTTTTTTGTATCCTGATTACGTAACTCGGTTACATGTAATCTGTTACTCCCCCCAAAGCCTGATTATAAGGTTTGCTTTTGGTTTTTAACCTTTATTTATTCAGGGACGTTTCTCTGAGGTTGTAGCCTCTCTTTTGATCACACCTGGAAGCTCAGCTGGAGCAGTTGGGGTTGAGGTTGAGGGCCTTGCTCAAGGGCACCTCACCAATGTTAATGAAGCACAACAAACTCACCACTAACCTTTTCCCAACCACAGCCCCAAGGCTTTAATGTAATGGCGTTATTAGTGGTTAATAAATACCTTTTTTAGTTTTGCTTTCAATAAGTTATTAGTACCACTAACTAATATAGCTGAAGAGTTTATAAATAATAATTAATAACTTATAAAAGCTTAATAAATCAATTTGTTGAGGTTTGGAAATATGTAAAGCCAAACTTATGACCACTTAGCTGTTGCATAATGTAATTTTTAATAAATATCACCACGTTCCACATTAACCAATTACTGATAATGAACTGATATTTTTTGATGGTGACTCTGCATTGCTTGGGAAAACTTTGTCATGTTTTCTTTCGTGCTAACTTTGTTCGTTATAAGTCATTTGTTAAACTAACATTTACAGATTAGTAATAAGATATTATTGTGTGGGTTGCCTGGTAACTAAATCTTTAGTTGATAAGGAAAACTTCTTCAAAGGACCATTTTCTTCTTGCTGTACCTTCTGGAAAAGTGAACATTTACAACTGCAGACTTGACAGATTAAATATGAGTTATTAAGTTTTATAATTGCAGATGACGTACAAACATTTGCTGGAGGAGGATGAACTGAAGCCTTTAGGGAATGTTTCACAACATGGCAACCTAAAGATGATATTTTAATTGCTCGTTACTGATCTATAACCCTTTAAAAAACGTGCCTTATTAGAAAGCGGTACCAAACTTGTTAAAACATCTTTCTCTTTGTTCAGAAAGTAGGTGAAAACATGAGGTTTGAGTTCTCAAATTAGAAAACAACCTCCAAGGAAGCCCCTCAGCATCCTGAAACACTGAAAGCAGAAACATCCACCCGAGCTCCCAAATTGACTGTTTTCCCTCTGCGTCTTCCATCTTTGCGCGTCTTCTGTCGGCCCTGAAGAAAGGTTTTTACTGTGGTTTACCTCAGGCTGCAAGGTTCATGACATGGCATAATAAGAAGGTTATTGATTTTATCCCATGAAATCTTATGCAGTATTCAACATTTTGGCTGCTGCACCTTGAACTCAGCACATACCGCCTCATTTGTGAACCAACACGCGTCCTGAAACTAATTGATTGTCTTGGTCTTGATGGACACTAACAGTGAAATCCTGATACAACAGATGCATTTTTTAAATCATTATTGAAGTGAGTGGGGCGTCTGAACGCCGACAGGTTTTTGAGCTGAATGTTTGTTTAAGCGTCAGCTAACATACAAGTTCCCATACTGAAACGCTGTACATTAATTCAGTGCTAATGCTGACCTGGAATATTTCTTCATAAGATCACAGATGTGTGGGGGAGACGGCGCCAGAGTCTAGAAGGTGTTGTAAAATCTATGATTAGAAGACAGCACGGCCCCCTTTGGGTTCACGAGTAAACAATACTAATGAGTACCTGTGGGAGTCCTTCGCACTACCTGAAATGGGGCAACACAGTTTCCAAACTGGGAAAAACCCTGCAACTTGGATTACTGGGTGTAAAAACAGCATCCTGATCACCCGGGTTTAACTCGTGGATTATCAGTTTGCTGAATTATATATGAAGTCTGGGAGAAAGTTGGTCTTGAACTGAACCATTTTTGCTCAAATGAACAAACTCATCCTGTAATTGTGGCTCTTCAGTCTTCACATTGTTACAGCTGTCAAATCAGAATTAGTTATCCTCTACACAATGATTTGTTTCATAAAATATTCTAAGCTCAAAGGTTTACTAGTTTTAATACCTTTCAACTGCCTTTTGATCTATAGACTTCTTGATTTCCAGTGGTGGAAACGTTGAAATATCTCAACAACTGGAGGAAATTTGTGGTTTTCTCTTTACTTTTCCTCTAAAGCCATCAAGAGGGTGACATTTTTGGGGGTCTTGACATAATCCAGATGACCTGCTTGTGAGATATTGTTTAAGACTTTCATGGTTCATGGCCCTCCCTCCCATTCAGACAGATTTCCCCCCCAGTCCTGGATAAGTTTGGGTCAAACAACACTGTTTATGTAATATGGAGCAGAACACAAACTCTGGTTGAGTACGATTAACACAACAGGGCTTTATTTAAAACTAGTTGGTGGCTGATGGCGGAGGAGAAGGGGCGGGCAGGCTGGCTGAAGTGCAGGTGATGATCCTGAATTACAGAAAAAACAAGGTTAAATACGCCAACACGGGGGGGGGAGAACGTCACGTCAATTCCATGAGACAGCCGAGAGAGTTGCTACCAAAACAGGCTGAAACGATGTGTTGGAGAGTGGATGAAGAACCGGGGTTGATATACTGCCGGAGCGATGAGTTGATGGCTGAGCAGTCAGACAGGTGAGCAGGTAATCAGGTCCTCAGGCAACCAGGGAGAGTGGGAAGAGTCCGACAACACACAAACACAGACAGACAGACAGGAACACCAGGGAGGGGAAAACACTAGGAACTACTAGTGTCTGGAACTGACCATAACAGGAGTGGGTTGTAGTCGATGACTGGACAGAGGAGTCAAACCTTCTTGGCCGTTAAGGCATTTTTGTACAAACTACTACTTCTTAAAGCTTTTGTAGATTCAAAAGTACATTTTATTGTTTTCGGTCTATCCAGTTGCGTCCAGAATCATTCTGGTCTGCTCCCACTGATGAAGCACTGACTCTTCATTTAGCTCCAGCAGCAGGTCGAGGTTATCACCAGATGGATTGGCACAGATCTTTGTACAGACATTGAAGTTTCCTAAAGGATAAATCATTATGACTTTACTGATCCCCCCCTCTGACTTTCCCTCCATGAGATTCACATTTGCTGTTCAAAGTGAAAGGTCTCAACAATTGTTGAATGTGTTGCAGATGTTTTTATGTTTGTGAACTTTGGTGACACCTCAAAATGTGTCTAATGTGTCCTTGGCATTACAGCCTCTCGCAGTCGCTGTAGCGAGGTTGTAGACGTGTCGTCTCGTTCTATCTGTGGTGTCAACTTCAAACTACTTCCAAACATTAGTCTGCAGATTGGTGTCATTGTTCAGGGTCTGGACTGTAGCTGTCTTCCTCTCCAGGCGTCGTCCTGTCTTTAGGGAATACCAGCAGAGATCTTAAGGTGTTGGATGGTTTTACGGTATTGAATTTCACTGTTGATAACCGAATGATATCTACATTAAACACAGTGTAACAGCCGACCAATCACGACTCAAATGACGTAAAGCATGCCAGCTGTAAGTTATTGTCCACTTCTGGAAAATGGAGGCGTCCCAACAGTTCCATTGTAGTTAATGACGCATCGTATCTACATCACATCCACAACTGTTCTCCACATGTGCATCACATATGCAAAGAATGAATGAAATACAGCTTTGAACATAAGTTTGCACACTCTGTACATGACAACAGAGGTAGAATTAGCTGTTTCTATAATGGTACAGCTGTCGTGTGACGGTGACCAGCTTTCCCTTATTTCTTAGTGACTAAACGTGATATTATTATGTTAAGGACAGCTTCAGTTTTATTCTCAGTGAGCTTTATAAGCCCTGCAAGTGGGAGTGTAGTTCTTAATGCATTAGCTGTGATCTTTGTTAAGGAATAAATCCAATAACCAGAGAAGAAGGCTCTCTGGTCAAAAAAATGGAGACTCTAAAATTACCTGCATTGTCTGTACGAACACGGGCAGAGGAACAGAAAATGGAGGGTATTTGAAGTAAGAGCTTTAAGTAACATTAAAGTGCAAGTACAATTGGATAACTTACTGTCTTTGGTCTGCAATAATTTATTGGAATGATTCCAGGAAACTACTCATAGATAAAATCTGTTTAATCTCAGATTAAACAGGCAAAGTTTAAATAATGGATGACGGATTAAATGCTGCCTCTTTTGTCCTTTGTGGAGTGACCACAGTAAAAAGTCTTATACTGGCGTAGGAAATACATCCTGTTATAGGAGGAGATGCCACTCTTGTTCTCATCAGGCGTTAGCTGCTCCTCATCTATTATTTTATTTTATTAGATATTAGATTATCACTTACATTTCATAAAATGGAAATTGCCTTTGTTTATTGGTTCGTACGGTGCTCATTTCACTCCACTCAGTTCTAATCCTTTAATCCTATAAAACCTTGTTACTGCATGCGACCTTTAGCTGATAAAAACAGGAAAACAAAGTAAATTAGGTTTCCCCCCTCCCAAAAAAAAAAAAGAAAAATTGGCCACAGAGAGTTTTGGCTTTAAACTTCCAAACAAGATAACTCGAATCTACGGAGCCCCTAAAGGGACATGAAAAAAAAAAAAAATGAACGTTTCTAGTGAGCACTAGATAGTATCTTGTGCTCACTAGATAGTATCTTGTGC